TTTTTCTTCACTCATACCGCTTCCCGCGCCCCCCCTGCAATGGCATTGCGCCCCCCCTAGGGGGCGCGCCCCACACTTTGGGAACCACTGACTTAAAGTATGTTTGCCAGCACACAGGAGGGGAGAGAGAGTTGTATACTGGTAGATTTGTTTATTATTCAATTAAAAAAGGTTTCTTCATTAAAAAATAGATTTTCAATTAAAAACACCTTCACTTCAATGAAAGAAAAAAAAGTTTTTGAATGCAAAAATATAGTTGAGACTCAATAAAAAATTTGAAATCTGCTTTTCTTTGATTGAAAATGTTTTCTTTGATAGAATCCAAGTTTATTTTTTATTTAAAGCCCCTTTTTTAATTGAAGTAACATTGTTTTCTGATTGGACCATATAATGGCAAGGCAAGGCAAATTTATTTGTATCGCACAATTCAGTACAAAGACAATGCAAAGTGCTTTACATGATTAAAATATAGGAAAATAAAACTGAATTAAAGCAAGTAGAAAAACAAAAAAAAAGCAGAAACAAAAAACATTAAAAACAGTTGGACTAAGAAAAAAAAAATGTATATAATGGGTTGCAGCTAGCAGCAGATTCATGCAGTAAAAGTCAAACATTTTCACACAATTGTTACAGTGAAGTCCTGCAACAATGGACTCTGGACAAGTAAGCCTTTAAAGTGTGGATAAAATAAAACCCTTTATAATCAGGAACGCAGCATTTATTTGGATCTAAGCATAGCCAAGTTTTGTTTTATTTTATTGTTTTGAGACTTTTAAGGAGATTATGGAATTTTTATTTCAGCTGCTCAGTTACTTCTCTGGCCCTGCGCCCTGCACAGGGAATCTGTGTCAGAAAGTGGCAAGATGTGTCCACAACAACTGAGGTGTGAAAATTAATTGGGGAAACTTGAAGCACTGATTAAGATTTGGGATTGAGCCACGTCCTTTAAGCCTCTTAGTACCCAGTGCGTGAAAAGAAAGGAGGTGAGGAACAATGATGAACCACAGAGGCTCTATTGCATGCAATAGAGAGAGAACTGGGTTCTATTTGAAACCCAAAAAAATCCCACTGAGGCCTAGAGGGATCATATACTTTTTTGGGCTCATTTTAAAAGTCAGGATGAGGCCCAGACCCCGAACTAAAATATGTAATTTTATAGCATCTATAAGTAAAACCGTTAGCATTTTTACTCTGCTTAGCCAAACAATCTAAAATACTTTCACTTGTTTCCTTTTCATATGAAGACTAAGGTTCCCCAGATGACTTTTTGTTCATCATAGTCGGATGCTTAGTATTTTTTTGTCTTCTTTATTCGTAACCGTAAAATATTCTTAATTTGACACGAGGTATGAATCACAGATAACTGAAGGGAAGTCTTGCAGCCTTTACACAACTTGGAGGCAGCAGCTGATCTCCTTCTGTGCCTGTCATGGGCTGAATGAATGCAATCGCGATCTCAGGTGACCTTCTGGCCTTCGCTAGCTTTCCTGTTTGTTTGTCTCATGTTCCAACATAATAAAACCCCTCTTTTTATTCCTCTGTATGCGGCCATTAGGTTTGCTGTGAATTATTATATAACTGATTCTAAAAATAATCTTTGAATGATGGAGTTTTCTTATTAAATTCTGTCAAACATGCTGCATGTGATTAGCCTGTTGGCAAACAAGGTGCTGCTGTGTCAGTCTCAATGTCCTGTTCCCTTTTTCTCCCCCCCGCCCCCATTCGTCAGCTGGAAGCAGCCGGCAGTGCTCAGGTCACGGTATGTCAATGCTAACTGCACATCATTCGATTATCTCATCAGAATCCCTGTTTGAGGGGAACCATCTTCAGCACTGAGTTGTGTAAAAGGTCCATCTGGGTTAGAGAGCGATGGAAATTAGCTTGAGGACAATTATGAAATGAGTCAGAAGGTGGAAAAAGTTTCTCAGCTGAAAAGTTTGCAAACTTTTTTTCTTATTTTTGGAGAAATGCACGTGTTGCCTCAGTTAGAAATACACGTGGAAACAATTATTTAAGGATAATATTTTGGATATAAAAACCCAAATTAACCGACTAGAAGTTCTGGGATCATCTTACATCACCTTCAGGTTTTGCACGTATCTTCTTTGTCACTGTTTCCATGAGCATTCATTCATGTGAACAGTTTGTGAGTCCACCATCACCCTCTGGCTGCATGTCTGGTCCTCTGATGATGCTGGGTGTTCTGTGTTTTGCTCTATTCACCTGGTGTTCTTCTCACTGCATGAAGAATGTTTGTTTCCTTATCCATAAATGAAAGTGATGGTTGGCTGATGTGATGTTTTTCCTGCAGGAGGAGTTCTGTTATCCCAGGGAGTGTCTGACTCTGACAGTGGAGGAGGTGATGCATATCAGACAGGTTCTGGTCAAGGCTGAGCTGGAGAAGTTCCAGCAGTACAAAGATATCTACAACGCTCTGAAGAAAGGAAAGGTGGGGGTTTGCTTGTAGAGTTGAAATGCTGGTTAAACACATTCAGTCCTGAACGCCGTTCTCACCCATATTTTCCTTCTCTAGCTTTGCTTCGCATGTCGGACCAAAAAATTCTCCTTCTTCACATGGTCCTATACCTGCCAGTTCTGCAAAAGGTAAAGTTGGGCACTACGACCGGTGCCATTCATCTGTATATCAACATTTCAACAAGTTTTACTTAAGCAGAGAGTTTTACCTGTTTCTGTTTGGTCAATGTCTAATTTAACCTGTCTGACATTTAGATGTATTTAGCATGATTACCTGTTAAGTTTGAAAGT